GTAGGCTAAAGCTGTCTGAGGGCGATTTAGACTCCTGTTCTAAAGCGACTTCTCCCTCCAACAATTGCGTTGAAAAGTGGACAATTAGGGGTTCATCGGAGTATAACTGGGCTATATGAAGGACAACAGAAAAACCTCAAGGCCGTTTTGAATGACTTTGTACGGCGCATCTTGTGACGAGCCGTTCAGCACAATCGTGATGAGGATTTAATCTCTTTCGTTCTTTGAAGTAGGGAAGCATGTCTTCAGTTTCTTATGCGTTATGTTCTATTTGGCGCAATGTGGCTTGGGGGAGGCTGGGCGGGGGGGGGGGGGGGGGGCCAGTCGCCGCGCGCGGCGTTGCGGCAACAGGAAATTCGTGAGCCAGGGGGAATGTAGCCAATTCAGGGGGGTGGGGGTGAGGGCAGTCACTTAGCATGCGTGAGAAGCTGGAATGTTCCGTGAGAAGCTGGAATGTTCGAGTTACACTACATCGCTGAGCCGCGCGCGGCGACTGCCCCCCCCCCCCCCCCCCGCGCCCCGAGCAACTTTGCGCCGTTCTTCTATTACGCGTCGTCGACTGACTCGATTCTCGGATTTCAGTGAGCTGCTTCAGCTAATCTCGCGCTGTGCGTTTCCTAGCTGAACTCTTTCTCAAAGCAGTCGCCAATCACGAGCTGACGCTGGCGGGTTTCTTCCAAATTTGAAGAAATAAGTGCCAAAAGACAAAAATCACGATTTCGGTAGCCTAAAAAGGCTGATGCGACGAAGTTCCCAGAACGCTCAAATCTTTGCGCGAAAAAGGGCTTAATCTCCTTGACAAGATGACATCCAAAAAAAAATCCCTGAATATTTGCGGAAAAATGCCGAAAATGCAGGAAAGTACTCGAGGTGCAAAACGGCGGGTACTTTTTTGATCAACCTATATAATACTATTTATATACGGTGACCAATGGAGATTATAGTTAGTAAGGTTGGGTAACTACGTAACCCAACTTTCCATAATTTTAGCATTCATTCATCAAAATTCCATTGGATGAGGTCAAATTTTAGCCACCACAAGATGGACTCTAGGAAGAGAAGTGCACATGGGATGTTAAGCATGGAGCCTGTGCTACCAAAAGTAGGACTCCACCATAAGGTTGTTGGACGAAGAAAGGGAACTTGTGTAGTTGGAAGAAAGGTGGACCTTTTGAGGGTGCGGACCAACACGCAATTCGCAGCGAAGGGTGCCCCGGCGACCCAGGATCCTCCCCGCGACGCTGTCGGCGCGGTACGCCTTCCGAATGGCTATACTTGGCAGAGAGATCGTCAGCGTTGCACCGATGACGGCCGCATAATCACTACGTTAAAAGTGTTTTCGAAGGATGAACAAGTTAGATTAGTTTCATTCGTAAATTAGGCGGATATCTTTGCAGTTTTAGGCCGTGGCTACTCCACGGAAGTTGAGAAACGAGCCTCTTGCGCAGCTTATCCTGCGCAAGTGGCTCCACCCATCGCTAAAGCTCACCTCTCTGGATCGATGACCGTCAAGTTTTTCAAATGTGACGCGATTAATTCTGACTGAATAAGGTTGAAAGCCAAGCAGAGAAAATACATGGCGCTAATAGGCCAGATGGTTGGTTCAGGAACGCGAAAATTTGGCTGGATGTCCAGATGCTTCACGTTGAGCTTGCTTAACCCGAAAGATGGCTAACACTAAGATGAAGTCACGTTTCCACGGATCTTCTCTATTTTACTTTGCCTTCTTCTTGATTCCAGTCTTTTATTTAAACTTTTGTTTTCTCAGCACACATTTACCGAGCTTTATGCATTTTTGGACTGGCTATTTTCCGTGACTTTTCTACGTTTTTCAGTGATTAACACTTTGGAGACCGCGCGTGTTTTACGTTCCGCGGCCGCGCGGGACTTCGGTGAAATTTTTAGGGATCTTATCTAGCAAATTCAAAAGAAGAACCCACTGTATAATGCAGAAGAAATCTTATCGGATAAAATGGAAAAGAAAATGAATGAAAAACCTAATAATTGTTTCGAAATGCGAGCTGAAAGGTCCTATGCGGTCGGAGGACTGCAGCCCACATATGGGCTGCGTGGGCTCCAAGGTGTTAAAAGACAAACAAGTTTATAAATAAATATATAGTTGATGGACTGATTCGAGCGCACAGCTTCTTTTTTAAACGCCGTATACCTGTAATATCAGCCCACCAGAACAAGATCTTTATTATGTGCGTTAAAGAAGATGCACAATCTGAGGGACGTGTGTGAGATTCCTATCAGGTGTGAGTGTGATAAAGAATGTCCAAGGCTCCAAGGTGGTGGTGGCACTGTCCAGCGGCGCCCAGTGCCGTCTGTGCATTCGGATTCTCTTAAGGCCAGTCAAGCAGGGTGCACCTTTGGAGACCGTCGTTACGACATTTAGGAGAGCTCGCCCCCTGTGCCCTCGCTCTACTGGCTTGATATGGTGTATAAGATGAGGGAATTTGGATGTTTTGATATTCACGGTGCAATGGTGCGCACACTAAGCAGGAAGTACAATGTGTCTGCAGTACAATACAAAGCACCTGATTCGAGGGGGTCATTAGGTCATGAACCGATGCACCCTCATACAGAGTCACCGTGCGTTGCACAGTCCTCAAAGAGGAGGATCACATTTGAGTTTGCTTTGGGGTGGGGTCGTCTCAGGGATTCGTGGAGGCCAGAGGCTTGGGAAAAGGGAATAGTATTCTGGAAGATGAAGGTGTAGTGTTGGTGGGAGATGGGGTCATTTTTGTCGGGTTTCTAATAATTTTGGTGAAGATTCAAAATAGAAAGCCTGAAGTAATTAGAAGAATGGTCGTTCCATTAGAAACAGTGGCGGTCAAAAGTTTGAAAACTTTTTATTTTTGATCAAACACAGTTTATAGGCAACATATTGGACTCAAATTCAAATCCAATATCAAGTGTAGAATAAGATAGGAATTGTAGTTTCTCGAAAAAAATCGTAAATTGAAATTGTAATTGACCTATTGTACCTCTAATTCGAATTTCTTGAGGTCTGCTCATTGTAGAGGTCTTCCACGCATTCAACTTCTCTCAATTTCTCAGTACACTGCAGAATGCATGGAGACTCCATCCAGTATATTGACCACTTCATTCTCTACTCTTTCCACAGTACCACTTCCAGTTTCTGTAAATCAAGGGTTATGACGGGAAAGGACCATTGCGAGCCGCTGCCGCGTCACAACTTTTGAGAAAGATCTTTAATGGGTCTATTCCAGTTAGGGGGGGGGGGGCATCATGATGCAGTTTCTCGGCGAACTAGTGTGAACTCGAACATTCCAGCTTTTCACGCATGTCAAGTGACTGCCCTCACCCCCACCCCCTAGACTGGCTACACTCCCCCTGGCTCGGAGTTACCGTAGCTTTTTGGGAGTCACCGCACCATGATGCCCCCCTAACTGGAATAGACCCGATCTTTACATCATTGGACTCGTCAGGCGAGTCCAACATTATGGAAAAATGAGAATTTGTGTCTATCTGGTTACCTGTGCAACCAAACTCGTACTTTTACACACTGTTAGTCTCGCCACAGAGAGAGAGGTCCATTGGTTTGAAGTTCTCTTCATTTTACCCTCACTCGAAGAAGTTATGACTGGAGGACGGTTCGTGATGGCTCTCTTCCGTTGCAGACCGACCATTTTCTAAAAATCATGAGTGGTGTTTCACATGTGGATAGCTTGCTCAACGGCGTTTGAGTTATTGCAGCTCTCATAATCGTGAAAGCGCTTGGTTGAGCTGTTGACAAAATTTGCTGGACATTTCCTTGATGACGTGAATTTGATTGATTCATTGATTCACGTACAATCTTCGGCATCGTTAAGATGCGTTTCGTGAGCTATATTGATTGTCTTTCAGACGAAGTTTCTAACCATGGCTGCATCGGTGACAAACGGCCTCGTGAGTGATTCGTTCCATTGCTGGGTTACCAGTACCGACTCCGAGCCATCACAACTAACAGCGTTCACGATTCCCACTCCCGAACCAGTGCTTGAGTGAAAACTTAAAGTTCCAGGGAACAGTTTGGGTCTTTTGATGGTCGTCCTTTGACTTCATGTGATGGTTTTCCTTTTGTCAACGATAACATCGTTATTTTGTTTGAAAAAGTGGTTTCTGCACAGGGTTACGTGAATTTTAGACAAGCGCTCTCATTTGGGCTGAATGTCCCCGCGTTTTTGCTCCACAGTTTTGCTCACATCAACGAACAGTGTAACGAATGTAAACTGGAACATTAACACCATCCGTCATCCTTTTTGCGAGTTGTTATATGGCCAATCCCTTTCCGATTGCTTGGAATCTTCGAACATTTATGACTGTGGCCATTGCCAAAGAAGTGCTGTTTCTGTTTCTCGCGAGTAGTTTCTCGCAAAACTTTTTTATGATATGATCTCTTGCGCAAAGAAACCGAGCAGAGCCTCTGGTCTTTTGGGGTGTAAATCAGTCCTCCTCGTCAGGAAGACATACGTATGATTAGCTCGCGGCAGTTCTAAGCCTTAGCCTAAGCCTAACTCTACTCTTGAGAATTTGTTGGTGTGTAATCATAAGCCTAAGCAAGCCTAACCTTAGGCTTCAATTATCCCGCAGTTTGGTGACCCGAACTGAACGTCTTCCAGTCCTTTATGGAAGACCTATCTCCCAGCAGCGAAGACAATAAGTTTAGTGGTTCTGGCAAGTGTATCACAGCTCCTCGAAAATGTTGGCCGATTACGGAATGGAAGCATGGGTTGCTTTCAGGTCAAAGCTGCCAAGGAATGAGCAGAGACAAGCTCCTGCCAGCTTTTTCTTTGAGTAGGGGCTCTCCCATGCTAAATTATTGTTGGCCAGTGGGGCTTGCCAACATAAATCCCTCTAACTACAACTATTATAGGCAGCTATGTCCGGTAAAGTCCACACTCCGCTGCAACCTGTGAAAAGGATTCCTTACGTTGGGAAGAATATTACCAAGGATCCAGGTCTCGGTTGTGGATTCGGAAGCCTTTGAGATTATGAAGAAGGTACTCCTATCCTTCATCGTGTAATGTTTTCTACAATTTTGACCTAATTTTTGTCCACTTAAAGTTTATGCCTGATTTCAGGAGAAAAAACGTCAGCGACATGGCCTCGAGCTGATTGCCTCCGAGAATTTCACCACCAAGGCTGTAATGGACACCGTGGGCTCTTGCATGTGCAACAAGTACTCCGAGGGTTATCCAGGGGCCAGGTCTGTCCGTTCTCGGATTTCGAACTTACACAATACTTGGCACA